CACAGTTAAGAGACTTCAAATATTAACAATAATTTAAGAGTTGTTCGACTGAATTTATAAGAGCAGTGAAGGTTCTCTTTATATTCTCCACATCCGAAATTCCACCTGCCTTAAAAAGAGCTATAAGTGAACATCTATATTCAAGGCTAGAGGGAACAAGTGCCTTCAAGAGTATTATTAATGGCTGTGGAATAGCGAGAGGCAGGGGCAACTTGCTCTAAACCAGTGTTGCCCTGGGTTGGGCAGTTGTTGTGAGTCAATGTGTCTGGTAATCATGTTTCTTAAAACTTTCTCGAACACCTTTGTAGGTGACCTTACTGCTACGTATATATAATTTGTGACTGCTGGAATACCATCTTTGTAGAGTGGGACTATATGCGTGACTTTGTAGTGGGGATACATGCGTGGCTTTGTAGAGTGGGGCTATATGCGTGGCTCTGTAGTGAGGCTATATGCGTGACTTTGTTGAGTGGGGCTATATGCGTGACTTTGTTGAGTGGGGCTATATGCGTGACTTTGTTGAGTGGGGCTATTTGTGTGACTTTGTAGAGTGGGCTACATGCGTGACTCTGTAGTGCTATATGCGTGACTTTGTAGTGGGGCTATATGCGTGGCTTTGTAGTGGGCCTATATGCGTGGCTCTGTAATGGGGCTATATGCGTGGCGTCGTAAAGTGGGGCTACATGCGTGACTCTGTAGTGGGGTTACATGCGTGACTTTGTACTGGGGCTACATGCGTGACTCTGTACTGGGGCTATATGCGTGACTTTGTAGTGGGGCTATATGCGTGGCTCTGTAGTGAGGCTATATGCGTGACTTTGTAGAGTAGGGCTATGTCAGTGGCTTTGTACAGCGGGGCTATCTCAGTAGCATTGTAGAGAACATAAGAACATAAGAAAGAAGGAACACTGCAGCAGGCCTACTGACCCATGCGGAGCAGGTCCATGTCTCCCTCCCGGATTAGCCCAATGACCCACCCAGTCTGGTCACCTCCACTCAAGGAAGGAGCATGGCACCAGACCCAGCAGCACAAGCTAGTCAGGTCCAACTCACACCCACTCATATATTGACTGTGGGATGACGCATGTAGCCGGCACTCAGAAAAGGAAACTGGACAAGTACCTCCCATAAGTGCCAGATCAACCAGGCTGTATTGGATGTGTGTGCCAGAGGGCCAGCAACAGCATGGTATATCCGGCAAGATCAGACAAGCCTGACATTTAGGGCCGGACTGCGGGAGTCTTGTAACTCTTGAAACTCGCCAAAGGTATATCAAATGCATAATATATTTAAGGCAGGTGATTGTGTTGCATATTGAGATCCACCAGTGCGGGCATGGGTCAGATCCAGCAGTGTGGGCATGGGTCAGATCCAGCAGTGTGGGCATGGGTCAGATCCAGCAGTGTGGGCATGGGTCAGATCCAGCAGTGTGGGCATGGGTCAGATCCACTAGTGTGGGCATGGGTCAGATCCAGCAGTGTGGGCATGGGTCAGATCCAGCAGTGTGGGCATGGTCAGATCCAGCAGTGTGGGCATGGGTCAGATCCAGCAGTGTGGCAATGGGTCAGATCCACTAGTGTGGGCATGGGTCAGATCCAGCAGTGCGGGCATGGGTCAGATCCAGCAGTGTGGGCATGGGTCAGATCCAGCAGTGTGGGCATGGGTCAGATCCAGCAGTGTGGGCATGAGTCAGATCCAGCAGTGTGGGCATGGGTCAGATCCACTAGTGTGGGCATGGGTCAGATCCAGCAGTGGGCATGGGTCAGATCCAGCAGTGTGGGCATGGGTCAGATCCACCAGTGGGCATGGGTCAGATCCAGCAGTGTGGGCATGGGTCAGATCCAGCAGTGTGGGCATGGGTCAGATCCAGCAGTGTGGGCATGGGTCAGATCCACCAGTGTGGGCATGGGTCAGATCCACCAGTGTGGGCGTGGGTCAGATCCAGCAGTGTGGGCGTGGGTCAGATCCACCAGTGTGGGCGTGGGTCAGATCCAGCAGTGTGGGCATGGGTCAGATCCAGCAGTGTGGGCATGGGTCAGATCCACCAGTGTGGGCATGGGTCAGATCCAGCAGTGTGGGCGTGGGTCAGATCCAGCAGTGTGGGCGTGGGTCAGATCCACCAGTGTGGGCGTGGTCAGATCCAGCAGTGTGGGCATGGGTCAGATCAGCAGTGTGGGCATGGGTCAGATCCAGCAGTGTGGGCATGGGTCAGATCCAGCCAGTGTGGGCATGGGTCAGATTCAGCAGTGTGGGCATGGGTCAGATCCAGCAGTGTGAGCATGGGTCAGATCCAGCAGTGTGGGCATGGGTCAGATCCAGCAGTGTGGGCATGGGTCAGATCCAGCAGTGTGGGAATGGGTCAGATCCACCAGTGTGGGCATGGGTCAGATTCACCAGTGTGGGCGTGGGTCAGATCCAGCAGTGTGGGCGTGGGTCAGATCCACCAGTGGTGGGCGTGGGTCAGATCCAGCAGTGTGGGCATGGGTCAGATCCAGCAGTGTGGGCATGGGTCAGATCCACCAGTGTGGGCATGGGTCAGATCCACCAGTGTGGGCGTGGGTCAGATCCAGCAGTGTGGGTGTGGGTCAGATCCACCAGTGTGGGCGTGGGTCAGATCCAGCAGTGTGGGCGTGGGTCAGATCCACCAGTGTGGGCATGGGCCAGATCCACCAGTGTGGGCATGGGTCAGATCCAGCAGTGTGGGCATGGGTCAGATCCACCAGTGTGGGCATGGGTCAGATCCAGCAGTGTGGGCGTGGGTCAGATCCACCAGTGTGGGCGTGGGTCAGATCCACCAGTGTGGGCGTGGGTCAGATCCACCAGTGTGGGTCAGATCCACCAGTGTGGGCGTGGGTCAGATCCACCAGTGTGGGCGTGGGTCAGATCCACCAGTGTGGGCATGGGTCAGATCCACCAGTGTGGGCATGGGTCAGATCCACCAGTGTGGGCATGGGTCAGATCCACCAGTGTGGGCATGGGTCAGATCCACCAGTGTGGGCATGAGTCAGATTCACCAGTGTGGGCGTGGGTCAGATCCACCAGTGTGGGCGTGGGTCAGATCCACCAGTGTGGGTGTGGGTCAGATCCACCAGTGTGGGCATGGGTCAGATCCAGCAGTGTGGGCATGGGTCAGATCCATGTCAGTGTGGGCATGGGTCAGATCCAGCAGTGTGGGCATGGGTCAGATCCACCAGTGTGGGCATGGGTCAGATCCACCAGTGTGGGCATTGGTCAGATCCACCAGTGTGGGCATGGGTCAGATCCACCAGTGTGGGCATGGGTCAGATCCACCAGTGTGGGCATGGGTCAGATCCACCAGTGTGGGCATGGGTCAGATCCACCAGTGTGGGCATGGGTCAGATTCACCAGTGTGGGCATGGGTCAGATCCACCAGTGTGGGCATGGATCAGATCCACCAGTGTGGACATGGGTCAGATCCAACAGTGTGGGCATGGGTCAGATCCACCAGTGTGGGCATGGGTCAATCACCAGTGTGGCATGGGTCAGATCCACCAGTGTGGGCATGGGTCAGATCCACCAGTGTGGGCATGGGTCAGATCCACCAGTGTGGGCATGGGTCAGATTCACCAGTGTGGGCATGGGTCAGATCCACCAGTGTGGGCATGGATCAGATCCACCAGTGTGGGCATGGGTAAGATCCACCAGTGTGGGCACGGGTCAGATCCACCAGTGTGTGCATGGGTCAGATCCACCAGTGTGTGCATGGGTCAGATCCACCAGTGTGGGCATGGGTCAGATCCACCAGTGTGAGCATGGGTCAGATCCACCAGTGTGGCATGGGTCAGATCCACCAGTGTGGCATGGGTCAGATCCACCAGTGTGGGCATGGGTCAGATCCACCAGTGTGGGCATGGGTCAGATCCATCAGTGTGGGCATGGGTCAGATCCACCAGTGTGGGCATGGGTCAGATCCACCAGTGTGGGCATGGGTCAGATCCACCAGTGTGGGCATGGGTCAGATCCACCAGTGTGGGCATGGGTCAGATCCACCAGTGGGCATGGGTCAGATCCACCAGTGTGGGCATGGGTCAGATCCACCAGTGTGGGCATGGGTCAGATCCACCAGTGGGCATGGGTCAGATCCACCAGTGTGGGCATGGGTCAGATTCACCAGTGTGGGCATGGGTCAGATTCACCAGTGTGGGCATGGGTCAGATCCACCAGTGTGGGCATGGGTCAGATTCACCAGTGTGGGCATGGGTCAGATTCACCAGTGTGGGCATGGGTCACTATCAGTGGCTTCTAAGTCAAGATGTAGGGTCATTGTCAGTAGTCGTGCAGATGTTGGCATCGTTCCGAGTCTCTCTCATGAAATAATTCAATGAGACTGTCAGTCTTCAGTCTGACTGACGGTTCACTGGGTACAAGTCTTTCTGTGATTATAGACACTGGAGAGCCGGGACCATCCACTGTATCCCAGGAATATATTTCGATGCTACTCGTATGTATATATTATAATAGTATTCTCTATATGTATATAATATGGTACTCTCTATATGTATATAATATGTTACTCTCTGATACGTATACATCATGATATTACTCTCTTTTATGTATATATTACACAAATACCTCGCACATATAGGAGAGAGAAACTTACGATTACATTTAGGTCCGACTTGTACCATTTACAAAGTCACACTGTCCTATGTGCGGGTTGTCTGTGCATCATTCCAGTCACGGTACTGTGCCTTTTTGTTCTTTATGTATATATTATGATGTTACTCTCCGTGTCAGTGCTAAGAAGTGTTTCCAGTAGTTAAGACTCTATTGGTTCTATGTTAGGTTCTAGTTTGTTAGGAAGGAACCAATCTTAGTGACTGAGAATGAAAAAGACTGACCATGGTGATGCTGGAGACTGACCTTGGAGAGTCTTGGAGACTGACACTGATGAGTATTGGAGACTGACATTACAGAGTGACATTGATGAGTGTTGGAGACTAACATTACAGTGACATTAAGGAGTGTTGGAGACTGACCTTGGGGATGATGGAGAGATACTGCAGCTTGGCCTCAGTGTTGGAGGGTCGGAGGAGAGGCAGGTGGTGGAGGAGGTCGGATGCTCCACCATCCTTGGCTTCAGGGATCTGACTCACCCACGCTGAAACAAAACAAACACTGTCAATACACCTTTATATACCCCTCTCTATATAATTAATTAACCTAACACCGTGTTGTGTACATACTAACAAGGTGAATGGAGGTTGGTAAATTGTCTGCCTCACCATTATGGACGGTAGATCAAGCCTTCACCACTGCTTGTCTTCAATGACACATGTAACATGTACACGTCATGTCTCAACTGCCTCAGGTTGGCAGAGCAGTGCTTCTCTGGTGATTAGAGGACACGATACAACTTCCACTAATCTTTGCTAAATGACACTCAAAAAGAATAAAATGGCCCAATACTGTGACTGGAACAATACACAAATAACACGCACATAGGAGAAAGAAACTTGTGACGACATTTCGGTACAGGTTTGACCTTAATGTCGTCATAAGTTTCTTCTCCTATGTGCGGGTTATATGTGTATGACACTCAAGTTTAAAGCCTCTTATAATAATAAGGTGTGGGAGCTTGAAAGCGTCCACACCTCAGTATGTCCTCGAACCAAGAGTAACACACCTAGCTTGGCTGGGTGCTTGGTTCTTGTAGGATTGGGTGGTCCTGTGGGTTAAGTCGTCATGTGATTCTTGCTCACAATGGCGAGCCAGTACAACCTGGGTTCGAATCCTTGGCTAGCGCAGTATTGTTATTGGTATATTTTGGTTTAAACAGCAACGCTCTTCTTGCCGAATAAGGCAAGCGAAAATTTGTGTATGCAATAATTTCGCAAAAATCATTCTGAACCTAACGAAAAAAAATTTTATTTCATTTATTATTAAATTATTGTAAACTTATCTAAAATATATTTAGTTAGATTAGGCTAAAGTAAATTGCGCTTCTTATAATAAAGTTAGGCGAGTGTAAAAACGAAAGCCTATAATTGTTTTACATGGCAGAATTACTGGTGTCTTTTTTTCTGTCACATAAACATGAAAGATTTCTGGTACGTCTTGCTACTCTTACTTAGGTCACACTACACATACATGTACAAGCACATTATATATATATATATATATATATATATATATATATATATATATATATATATATATATATATATATATTATATATATATATATATATACACCCCTCTGAGTTTTCTTCTATTTTCTTACTAGTTCTTGTTCTTGTTTATTTCCTCTTATATCCATGGGAAAGTGGAACAGAATTCTTCCTCCGTAAGCCATGTGTGCTTAAGAGGCGACCAAAATGCCGGGAGCAAGGGGCTAGTAACCCTTTCTCCTGTATTATTACTAAAGTTAAAAAAAAAAAGAGAGAAACTTTTGTTTTTTCTTTTGTACCAAAAGGTTATTTTGGTACAAAATTATTAATTTTTACATTAACATAAATTAAAAATATATATCTTTAAACGTATAAGAGAAAAATTTAGAAAGGACTTAATTTCTGCAGTGGAAAGAGAATTAGTGAACGAGATGGAGAACGTAGCTGGAAAGTGACGGGAGGCAGAGAACTTCATACCCAGAAGAATGGGAAATAGCAATGATAGAGAGCCCTTGGCTCAGCCAGAGATGCAGGAAAGCAAAACGAGGAGCATAAATGTGGAAATCTGTGAGCAAAGGACAAGCGAGAACAGAGAAGTAAGTAGATTATTCAGAAATGAATACACAAGGCTGAGGAGACAGGCTCGACAACAATTCGAGAACAGAACGACACAGCAGCCAAGGCCAAGTCTGAGCCAACACTGCTCCACACTCACATCAGAAGAAAGACGACAGTAAAAGACCAGGTAATTCAACTGAAGGAAGGAGAGCTCCCAGAAAATGTCAAGAAAGTCGGCAAAGTGCTGAAGAAAAGGTTTGAAGAAGTCTTCTCACTGGAAACAGGGGTAAAGCCAAAAAGCCTAGGACACCGTGCCCACAACAAAGCATAGGACGGTATAAACCTTGGTAATAAATACCGACGAGTTGGTTTAGAAAGACACGTAAGCAAACATTAGGACATATTTATTAGAAAACGTTTCGGTCCTGGGACCTTGATCACTTCTCCCAGGACCGAAACGTTTTCTTATATATATGTCATAGTGTTTTTCTAAACCAAAGCCTGGGACACCATGCACACAACAAAGCCTAGGACACCATGCACACAACAAAGCCTAGGACACCATGCACACACAAAGCCTAGGACACCATGCACACAACAAAGCCTAGGACACCATGCACACAACAAAGCCTAGGACACCATGCACACAAAGCCTAGGACACCATGCACACAACAAAGCCTAGGACACCATACACACATTAAAGCCTATGACACCATGCACACAACAAAGCCTATGACACCATGCACACAAAGCCTAGGACACCATGCACACAACAAAGCCTAGGACACCATGCACACAACAAAGCCTAGGACACCATGCACACAACAAAGCCTATGACACCATGCACACAACAAAGCCTATGACACCACGCACACAACAAAGCCTAGGACACCATGCACACAACAAAGCCTAGGACACCATGCACACAAAGCCTAGGACACCATGCACACAACAAAGCCTAGGACACCATACACAACAAAGCCTATGACACCATGCACACAACAAAGCCTAGGACACCATGCACACAACAAAGCCTAGGACACCATACACAACAAAGCCTATGACACCATGCACACAACAAAGCCTTTGACACCATGTACACAACAAAGCCTAGGACACCATACACAAAAAAGCCTAGGACACCATGCACACAACAAAGCCTAGGACACCATGCACACAACAAAGCCTAGGACACCATGCACACAACAAAGCCTAGGACACCATGCACACAACAAAGCCTAGGACACCATGCACACAACAAAGCCTAGGACACCATGCACACAACAAAGCCTAGGACACCATGCACACAACAAAGCCTAGGACACCATACACACAACAAAGCCTAGGACACATGCACACAACAAAGCCTAGGACACCATGCACACAACAAAGCCTAGGACACCATGCACACAACAAAGCCTAGGACACCATGCACACAACAAAGCCTAGGACACCATGCACACAACAAAGCCTAGGACACCATGCACACAACAAAGCCTAGGACACCATGCACACAAAGCCTAGGACACCATGCACACAACAAAGCCTAGGACACCATGCACACAACAAAGAAAGCTGTAAAAAAAATCAGTGAAGCTGGATATATCAAAGGCAAGGAGACCTCATGTCACCATGGATTTTGAGAGAGAAACGAGAAACAATTTCCTAACCGTTATCTAGGATCTACAAGAAGTCAATGAATACAGAAAAGTTGCCAGAGAGCTGGAAGACAGCGAATGTAGTCCCTATAGCCAACAAATGAGACAGGCAGGAAGAACTACACTACAGGCCAGTTTCACTGATATGTATACCTTCCAAGATAATGAAGCATTGGTTTCGTAAGCAATAACCAGCATAGGTTTAGAGATGGTTAATCTTTTACCTATCTGTTGAAATTCTATGACAATATAACGGAAGTGAGAGAGGGGGTTGGGTGGACTGCATTTTCTCAGACTGCAAAAAGGCATTTGATACTGTACCCCACATGAGACTAGGGCAAAAACTTGAAGGTAAGCAGGAATAACAAGGAACGTACTCCGGTAGGTGAGGAGGCAGAGAGTGATCGTCCGGGAGATGTCAGAATGGAGAAAAGTAACAAGTAGGGTACCGCTAGACTTGACATTGGATTATTAAGGAACCAGAGGCGACATAACAACTTACAAAATACTTAGGGAATTGATAGGGTAGACAGGGACAGGATGTTTGACAGAAAAGAAACGGGAACCCGGGGACAAAGCTGGAAGTTAAAGACACAAATAAGCCACAGGGATGTTAGGAAGTACTGCTTGAATCTTAGAGTGGTCGGGAAGTGAAATGATCCCGATAAATGATAAAGGAAGGCTCCATGCATAGTTTAAAGACCAGGTATGATAAGGCCCAAGAGGATAGGGACTGAATCTGGCAAGCGGCAAGAGGCGGAGCCAGGAACTGAGACTCAACCACTGAAACCGCCTATAGGTAAGTACAACACACACACACACACACACACACACACACACACACACACGGTGGTATCACCACTCCCACGGAAGGCATCGAGCGGAACTGCATCACTCTTAGTTGAAAGGCTGCACATGCCCCCATGGTTGGTTATCTGCAGCTGTGTTTTAACATCTAGGCAACTGTTGAAGGTGTGCTGCAGCTGTGTTTTAACACAGCATCTGGGCAGCTGTTGAAGGTGTGGTCTACGAGAGATGCTGGCAGCCATCAATAAATGTTTCTTAGAAATTCTGGAGACGAGAAGCTTCCTGTGAAGCCAGTCTCAACACCCACTACACCCTTTCCACCTGTAATAACATCCACTGAGAGAGAGAGAGAGAGAGAGAGAGAGAGAGAGAGAGAGAGAGAGAGAGAGAGAGAGAGAGAGAGAGAGAGAGAGAGAGAGAGAGAGATAATGAGTTTTACTTAGTTGTCTTATCACATAGTAACGTTGTGGTTGGGATAATAGCGAGATAACGCGGTTTGATAACAGACCGAGACTCTCCTGAAGAGGTTGCTACAGGGTTCGTCTCAGCAGGGGATCGTCCCAACAAGGGGTCGTCCCTCTACAGGGATTGTCCAAGTAGGGGGTCGTCCTAGCAAGGGGTCGCCCATCTCCGGGGTCACAGCAGGGGGTTGGCTAAGGCAGGGGTTGTATCAGGTTGGGGTTCTCCCTACAGGGAGGCTGTCCTTTGTTCTCGTAACAAACAAATCAGGAGCAGCAGTAACACTAGTAATAGTAACAGCAGCAGCAGTAGTAGTTACAGCACCAGCAATAGTCGTAACAGTAGCAGCAGCTGGAATAGTAGTAGCAGCAACAGTAGTAACAGAAGGAATAGCAGTAGTAGCAGAAGTAGCAGCAGCAGGAAGTAGGTAGCTGGTGCACAAGTTCCCACCAAGATGACGCCAGCAGCAGACTTCGTGTCTGCTTACCATGACGAGTACGGAAATTCCC